TGGACGATATGGGGTCCAAGCTACCTTTATTAAGAGTGAAAAGCCACCAATGGCTTTTCCAAGGCCACCAATGAGGAGAGTTACAAAGTCTATAGCTGACTAACAGAGTAAGGCCGTTCAGCCATTTCCTCAAATCTCTGCTTCAGATCCAGCAACTCTGTTCCAACACTTCAAATGGTATTATAACATCTACGACTACTAATCAATCAAAGATGCTTAACTCTGCCTTTTTAAGTTTCTTTTTTTTTCAGTCAATAAACACCAAACATTCATTACACACCAATGGGAGTAATAAGAGGACAAGTAACAGTTCCTGCCCTCAAAATATATAAACAAATGTAAACCTCATATCTGAAGATTATCCCCTAAAGCTTGTTTACTTCAAATACTTTGGGTATTTACACCTGCTGGCATTTGGAAAGATATCCAAACATATAGGAACTGAGGTCCTTTCTTCTCTGCAGGCAGGCTCAGTGATACTCCAGCCTCTAGACCCAGGTGGGAGACCCCTAACTGCTATCTCTTTTGCTAATGCACAGTATGAGACCAACTGACTGTCAATAAGCTCTCATCTTAAAAGCACAAGAAGCTTCTAGACCAATGTTGAAATCAATTTCTAAAACATATTTTAGAAAGAAAATTCCAGATTTTGTTGCTTATTTCTCATTTTTGTGTAAGTCTCTTCTTTTTGTTCTCTCCATCGGGACAGGATTATCCAAGATAAACAAGATCTATATTAAAATACAGCTGTAGCTCACAATAATAAAGAGCACAAATAAGTTACATCAATAGGGACGGCTGATTTAAAAAGATGGTTAAAAGCAATTATCTTAAAGAACTATTTAAACAAGTAATTTCCACAGCATTTCTAATTTATTCTCCCTACAATCCTGTTTTTTTTGCATTATTAGCTCCATTTGATAGAAGAGAAAACTGAAACTTGAGATAAAATAATTTACTCAAGATACAGTTATTGCATAAGGATCACACCTTTGACTCTGATCTCATTTTATTCATCCAATCAGCTGTCAAATACTGTATATTCTATCTTCATAATTTCTCTGTCATTCAGCCCTCCTCTACATAACTACTGCAACCCACTAGTCCAGAACCTCATTACCAGTTCCAAGCATAAGACTTGCCTAAAAAGTCTCTCTGCTTTTCCACTCACTCTGGATACGCAACAGGTTAACCTTCTGGAAGCACAATTCTGCTCACTTCCATTTCACTGTTCAAAAGCCTTCAATAAAGTCATTTTGCAGCCATGTATTCAAATACTCATCCCAATTTATACTCCAGCGACTCTTCTCCCACCTTATTTCCTATTCGTATGGAGCAAACATCCAAAGCTTCAGCCAAATGGAAACCCATGCTTTCATTCAAAGATATCTAGATCTCTCCCATCTCTCCAACTCTGCCTTTAGAAAGGACTTTCCACCACCGTCTATGCATGTTCGAATTCTAATCACTCTTAATTCGAAGCTCAGATCAATGCCATCTCCAAAAAGCCTCAACTTCTCTCTTCTCAGACCTCCCCTGGCACACCTGTACCTTCTTTCATTTTTTCCGCAAGAAATATTTACTGAGTAACTATTAAGTGCCAGGAACTGTGCTAAGTCAGGGAATGCAAAAAATGAACAAAAAGAACTTTTTTAAAAAAGCTTACAGCTTAGTTAGGGAGACAAAAGCAAACAAAAAGATCACATCTTTTAAGTTCCACAAAATTGGTCAGCTTAGGAGTCTACTTGAGCCTACATGAAGTACGCTCAAATCTGGCTTTGCCTAGGAATGCAGTAAGCAAGGCTTCCCAGCAGAGCTGACGCTTAATCTGAATGGGAAAAGATGCACGGGTGCCTGCTAAGAGACTGACGCGTGCACACACCATCTTCTGTTGCTGAGATGGAGGTGAGGAGTCAGAGGGGTACAGTGAGGGCTATTTTATGAACCATAATAAAATACTGTTTGTGGAAGCAATTTTTAAACAGAAAGGTGTCACGCAAATTTAGAGTATCATTTATTTACAAATAACAATGCTTCCCATCTACCTTTTGAATGTAATTGGCCACAGGAATCAGCAGACTCATTTTTAGAAACATAATTAGATAGTAAAAGTTTAACAGAATAATCCATAATGTTGTCAAATCTAGGTTTTCGGATGTATGCTCAATCTTTCTCTGTACACGCACGTCCCCTAGGAACACACACACAACTTCCAAAAGCAAACAGCTTAAGAGAAGCGGATTCACATTTACATTTAAAACATACACTTAAAAATGTAAGAAGTATCTTCAACCAGAGCTTCCTAATAATTTCCCATTTTACCGTTAACAACGTCCTAATCATAGAACCTGTGCTATCTCTGTCTGTAGACACAATTCAAAGGGGATTTTCCATGTTCTCCTCAGTACAAATCAACTGACAATCTATACACATGGATTCCTAATTTTATTTTGATATTTGTTTAAGAATTCAAATTGATCAGTATAATACCAAATTATATAGTGAACAGTTCTAATATGGATGAGATACAGAAGTCTTAATTAACTGTATATATTTATATTAAGGAACAGAGATTACCCTTAACACTGTCACTGTCATTAGAAACATCTGGGAGTCTGAAACAATGGGAAATGGTGGTGATAAGAAAAAAAAAAGGGCCGGGGATGGGAGGGAATGGGCAGTGGTGAGGAGAAACACAGTGAGTAACTGTAAACAACCATGAAATGATTCAGGGAAGGGACCTCTGGCTATGATGGTGTGAGCACGTCAGTGACAACAGTAAGAAAACTGGACAAAAGTGCCCAACAGTCATTTCAGGGTTCCAGAAATCAATCAAAGGCAGATAATAAACAAAAGTTTCTTGAAAAATTGCCAGAGCTTAGGGTAATACCGGCAGGAGTTTGTAAACTTATTGTCTGAGACTATTCCAACCCCTAACCCCACTTCCAACCCTTAGTTCTGCTTGGAGAACCCTGTTTTACCAGCACAGGGCTTAGGGCCACAAAAACCAGTAGCTTTGCTGCCAGAAGGGGTAGACTCAACTTGGGGCCTTGGGCAGGGGAGCAGTAGATAACTCACACTTTTGTCGGCTAAAAGTGGCAAACTTGTTTGGAGCCTAACAAGGGGAATACAGTTCTTCTAGCTTGAGGTTGTGGTCTAATTGGGGTGAGTGGTGGGCGAGCAAGAAATCTAATGGGGGGACCCTGGTAACGAGACTCACAGAAGGGCTGGATATGCTCTCCTCACTGACTGTGAAACTGCATGGAGGAGGAGGAGAGACCAGAGAGGGCCAAAGAGAAAGGAAAATCCAAGGCAAACTTGAGACCTGGCTAAACTCTGAACGTGCTTCCCAACCCACAAACAGACGGATCGACCAAGGGTGAAAGCCTTACAAGCTCGAGGTGCTTAAGCGCAACCTCTGCCCAGATCACTGGCTGACCACCACTAAGCTAGGGAGACACGGGGCGACTTCCGGCCAGGCTCAAAGGTAAAGATGAGAGTGAAAATCAGTAAGCAGAAGCATCAGTGACTGTACACCATGGAGTAGCCACATTCCACAGTTTAAGTCCAGGTAAAATTACTTAAAACATACACACATACAAATCTTATCAAGTAGTTTAAAGACTAAATAAAGCTCTTCTGATAATCTGATACAAGAAAGGCAAAAATAAATCTAAAAACTCGAGCTAGATCTTCCCATGTTAAATATAGCACATCTTTATCTTTGGAAATATAGCACACAGCTCCCACGGCTGATATGATTCTCTGTAGGATGACATACCTGAGATACACACCTATTGCTAATTTAAGACATTCCCTTTACTTTAGCAAGTTAGTAGTAAGAGCTGAAGTCAAAGAGGTGGTGGCTGGGACCAGGGATTAGTAAACCAAGCACCGAGTTTAGATTTTATTCTGAGTATGTTAGGGAACCATCAGTTAAGCAGGAAAATAGCATTACTTCCATTTTTTTATAAAACCTATCCCGGCTGCTATGTGGAGAATGGATAAGTCAGGCCACAGTAATACAGGAAATAAGTGATGAGATTTGGATTAGAAGGGCGACGACGACGATAAACACCTTACATGAGTTCAACTCTTTTCAATCTCCCAATGGCCACCTGAGGTAGGCACTACTGTCTTCATTTTACCGATGAGCAAGCTAAGGGAGAAAGAGATTATGTAACTGGGCCGAGGTTGTATTGCTAAGCAGGGGCCATATAGGGACTCAAACCCAAGAAATCTGCCAGAAGGGCTGAGCTCGTAAGTCATGTTCACTATCCAGCTATACTCCTAAGATAAAAAGAGGCTGAAGTAAGAAAATGTTTTAGCGTTATGGTTGCAGGGACTTGCTAATGGGCTGAATGTAGAGATGAAGGAAATAAAGAAATAAAGAATGACTGATAGGTTTTGCTTGAGGAATTAGATGAATTTAGTAGTATATATAGAAAGAACATAAAATAAGAGGAAAAGGGGTCCTAGAACCCAGGCTTGGTGTATCGCAATGTTCTAAAAATTGAACAGAAAAAGAGGAACCAGCAGAAGAAAACTAAGAAAGAACTTTTCGTATTTAGGAGGAAAATAGCAAGTATCAGAAAAACCAAGAGACTTAAGTACCTCAAAGAGGAGGGAGGAGGCAACGTGTAGGGGATGCTGCTGAGCAACTGTGTATGACGAGAACAGAGAAGGGACCAGGAGATTTTGCAAAATGAAAGTTACTGGGAAAGCTGAAAAGAGCATCCTCCTCCTCAGTTTACTCCTGCCTCTGCGCTTACCTTGTTGTATTTCTGTTCCACCTCTAAGCTGTAATCTCCAGGGCGGGCTAGGACTGTGAGTTTTAATTCTAAGCCCTTATCTTGTAATTACAATGCTTGGAGTAGAACTGCAATTACATAAATGCTACTTAACGTAAAGTTAACTCAACGGGTTTTAGGTATGATGATTAAGATGAAGATTTCGAAGATGGCACACACCCTTCCTTTTCCACCTCACGATACACATACCGTAAGAGATCCGTTTTGTGTGCTAGGTGAGTTGCTACTCTGTTCTCCATGCGCTTGCGTACTTCCGTAGAGTGTCAGGTTATGCTCACTGGTCTGGCCGGCATAGTCCTGAGTGTGTGGCACTCCATATTCTGTGGGAATTCCATTCTGGGGAGGCGGTGGAAACGGGATGGTAGTAAAAGGCTGAACCATTGCGTCAGGAGTTGTTGTTGGCTCCTGGTTACCCTAAAACGAGGGTGGGGGAGGAAGGGAGGGAAGGAGGGAGGGAGGAGGAGAGAGACAGAAAAAGAGAGAGAGAGAAAATAAGGAGAAAAAGTGACTTTAAATTTTTACTGCACAATTTTTAAGGAGAGTATATAAAATCCTCTGAATATTCACTGCTCAGATAAAATAGAATAAAAATAGAATACTTACTGCCTCGGGATTGGGGAAAAATATTACTACACACACACACACACACACGTGTGTATGTAGACACAAACACACAGCCAACTTCAGTCAGTCTGTGGTTACTAGACAGGTCCATGACCATATTAAAGATGACTAGTTACCAAAGGATCAAAAATTTTCCTTAAAGCCAAGTTTCAAAAAATGCCAGGAAATTTTTCACATTAGATACATTATAAGAGCTGAAATTAGTTTGGGCCATTAGTATTTTCTTTAGGATACTCTATTCCTTTAGTGATTCTTAGGGGAAAACAAATCAATTTCATTAAACTACAATTCACAGAAATAGGTAGAATGACATTATAAATTAAATTCTCAAAACCAGACAACACAGATCTCTATAGATTTTAAGAGCATAGCATTCAAGAGAAAGTATATTATTTAAAAATTAATCTTTGGACTTCAAGATAGAGATTTATTTAAGTCTTGGCTACTAGGTTAATAATAATAGTTAAAAAAAAAAACCCTCCTTAACTTAGAATTATTAGAAAGAGACAAAAAAACTTGAACGAGTTTTCCATAATTACTGTTAGCACTATCAGGCTAACAACAGAGCAGGACACTTCTCCACATAATATCTGTTCCTAGATGATTACTTGGGTGTAATATTTGAAATATCAATAAAGAATATGCAGTAACTACAGAAATCAGAAGTCATTTTGGCTCCATAACGTCCTTCCCCCATCCCCCAACCCCCATCTGCCCCACACTTCCGTTTTGTCTTTAAGTTCAGACACAAAAGAGGGGTTTAAATCTTGTGGAACAGATTTGGCAAAGCCCTCCCTTCTCAACAACTGACCTCCTGACTTTCCATTTTATGCCATGAAAAGTGAAGCCATTATTTTTACTGAAGATACACAAGTCTGCAAAGTCTTGAGCCGCTGTCCTGAAGTAATAGGCAGAGATGGCCAAATGCTTCAAAATGTTAGCACTTTGATAAACCTCCCCCTCTCCGCCATATTTTAGACATCAAATCATTAGGGATCAAAAAACTCTGGGTTCATGTTACTTGGTTTCCTCTGAGTCACAAGCATCACTTCCTTCCAACAAGGAACTAATTACTCCTTTCCCTCTCAGTCTCCCAACTCCTTCTTTCCCCTCATTCAAGAGAGGATTCTCTACCCACTGAGAACTGCAGGAAACTGAACTTTCAGCACCGTTTTCTAAACATCACCCCAGGCTTTCAACACTGACTTGATGACCATTAAACTCATACTATCTCAAACAAAATGAATCCAAAGCTGCAGAAAGATCTCACACTACTTTTAAAGGAAAGTTTAACCATCATCACTATAATCAGTTATTCTGCAAAAAACAAAACAACAACAACAACAAAACCCAGAATAAATATATAAAGGCTGCTATAAATGGAGAAATATATGATCATGGATTAGAAAGCCTGATACTCTTAAGTCGACCATGTACCCCGAACCCCACAAACCCAATCAAAATCTCAGCAGCTATTTTTGCAGAAGTTGACAAAGTCTAATGAAAATTATTTGGAAATACAAAGGACCTAGAATAGTCAAAACAATTTTGGAAAACAAACAAACAAAAAAATTGGAGGACTTATACTATCCAATTTCAAGACTTACTAAAAAGTTACAGTAATCAAAACAGTGTGGCACTGGCTTAAAGACAGACAAATAGATGAATGAGATAGAGAAGAAACCAGAGATAGACACATGCATAAACAGTCAATATTAAGGCATCAAATCAATTCAATGAGGGAAAGAAAAAGCCTTTAAAAAAAAATGAAAAACTGAATACTCAATGGAAATAAAATAAATCTCAACCCTTATCCCATATCCACCAAAGTTAACATACCGAAATTTAAGAGCTAAACCTATAAAACTTTTAGAAAAAAATAGGAAAATCTTCACAATTTAATAATAAACAAAGAATTCTTGGGACACAAAAAACAACTATTAACATTGATAAACTGAACTTCATCAAAACTGAAAAACTTCTGCTCTTTGAAAGGCACCATTAAGACAATAAAAAGACAAGACAGAGGCTGAGAGAATATTCGCAATACATACATCTGACAAAGGACATGTATCCAGAATCCAGAAAGAACTGTTAAAAAAGCATAATGAAAAGAATAAAGCATTTTTCAAATGGGCTAATGACTTTAACAGTCAACTTCCCACAAACAGATATCCCAATGTGCAAAAACTACATTGAATGGGTGGCTCAACACACTAGTCATCAGGGACATGAAATTAAAACCATATGAAATTCCATTTTACACCGACCAGATGGCTAAACGATTGAAAACTCCAAATGTTGACAAGTATGTGAAACAAAAACTTTCATACATTGCTTATCAAAGGGTAAAATGGTATACCTACTTTATAGAACTGTTTTGCAGTTTTGCTTTTTTATAAAGTTAAAATACTTCTTATATATACACAAAAGAAATAAAAGCATATGTGTACTAAAACACTTGGATGAGAATGTTCACGGAAGCCTTATTCATGAGAGTCCCAAACTGAGATCGATTATACTGAAACCAATAGAGCAGAAAAACAAATGACGGTCTATACACAAAATGAAATGCTACACAGCAAAAAAGAAAAAAAAGAAAAAGGAAAAAAAAAAAAAAGAATGAACTAACAGCAACATGGATGAATCTTAATATCGTGTTAAATGAAAGAAGCCAGACCCGGCAAAAAAAAAACAAAACAAAACAAAACAAAAAAAAAACACATACTGACTATATAATTCCATTCATATGAAGTATAAGAATAGTAAGAATAGGAAAAACAAATCTATGGTAATAGAAGTGAAGTAGTTGTCTGGTTTTTTTTAGGGGTGTTGCATTGATGGAATTGGTACTATGAAACATTCTGGGATGATAGAAATGTCATATATCTTGTTATGGGTCGTGGCATCAAATTGTTAAAATTCATTAAACTAAATAATTGGAAAGTATGTGTTGTATGTTAATTAAAAAAGAAGACAAAAAACCTGTTAAACTTGGAAATACTTGTCATTATTATTAAAAAGCAGAAGATAATTTCACTTATCACTATTAATACTAATATGTACAATAAGACAATAAAAATAAAATGATAAAAATGAGACAAGTTATCCTTACAGATATGGCTATATACTTAGAAAAGCCAAAAGAATTAACTCCAGACTAGTAGACCTAATAAGAAAAATGTCAGATTTATACATAACTATATTCAAACTAGCAGCAACCAGTAATTCAAAGGTATAACAAAACTTATAAAACATACGATATATAATATAAAACTTGACCTAAATAGATATAGTGTGTTTCTGGAGGAATACTTAACATAAAATTGTTAATCCTTCCCAAAATAAAATGTATACCTTAATGTCATTTCTAATCAGAAGCGAATAGTGTCTGGGGAAGGAAATAGGACTAAATACTTTCTAATTTGCATATGAAAAACGACTGATAACGTTTGGAAAAAGAAAAACCATGAAATGGGGAATGTGCTACCAAATATTAAAATGCCATAAAACTATGTGAGAATATATAAAGTGATTAGTGCAACACTGATGATCTTAAAACAGCTTCAAGTTTATATGGAAATTCAATAGAAGATAAAGGTGGCATTTTGACTCAGTGTGTGTGGGGGAGGATGGTTTATTTATCATATGACATTTGTAAAAGTTGCCTACCCACCAGAAACAAAATGAGCCCCTCAGCTCATACTCAAAAAAATTCCAGAAGGAATAAAATCTTATATAACAACTAAAACTATGAAAATATAAAAAAACTTGGGAGTATAACTAGGGTGTGGAGAATTTTTAAGTGAGACAGGAAACCTAAAAACCAGAAAGTGAAAAAAAATGGCAGGTTTGGCTAGAAAGTAAGGAAAGAAGAGAGGGAGGGGAAAAGAAAGGGAGAGAATTGGACTTGAAAGTCAAAAGTAAAGCCAAGTGGGGAAAATATTTGCAAGAGTAAGACAGACACACTAATCACTAATGCAAGAACAAGTCACGCAAATTGACAAGAAACACACAACAGAAAAATGCACACTGAATAATTCGCAAAAGATGAGCTAAAGATGGCTGATATGATAAAAATGCTCAATCTCACTAACAAGTGAAAATATATATTAACAGCAAAATAAGTGCAATTTTTTTAGTCATCAAATCAACAACAATAAAAAAAAAATAAAGTTTTTTGAGGTATAACTGACATACAATAGCCTGCATCTATTTATTTAGCGTTCACCCTGGTAAGTTTGACATATATACGTATACACACATGAAATCATCACCACAATCAACAGAGCGAACGTACCTATTCAAAATCCCCAAGTTCCCTGTTGCTCCTAATAATAAGCATGTATTACTTTTGTAATAAAGCCTACAAAGTATTTTTAAAAGAGAATGACAAAAAATGTAATCAGTAAGAGGAAGCACTGAATTACTGCTATTCTTAAGAAAATGACAGTGACATTACCTAGAGATACAGACTCATGACATTCTTTCATTTTAAGGTTATATAGCATCAAAATTCATCTGCTTTCGGCATCCAAGAATCATTTCCACATAGTACTACGGATTGCTTTACATCAAAATCTTCCTTTTGTTTAGTTCTTAGAAATTATGCCATGAAAACCTTAAATTCTTACCCGTAATTTTTCAGGGAAAAAGTCTACCTTTGCCACTCATCGCTGCTTAAGTTCTTTTCATTATCTCCAGGTTGGGGTACTGTAGATGATTTTTCTGGAGCTATTTAGGTGTCCTAAGAGGGAAATAAAATAATTCTCTCCCTTCTCCTTCAAATT